GTTTGCTCTTTCTTCTCATAAGGCTCAACCCCTTGAAGACGAGCATGAAATGATGAAATGAAATGATCTATGACTTTATAGCAAGGATTCCCAAACTATTATGGGCAAGAGACCCCTTTTCTAAAATGAACTGATATCTCAGACCCCCATATCCAAATTACTGCACGCTTATCGAGTTGAGTTTTTTTAAAGTACAACAATGATACTTCCTACTAAAATAACAAGTTGGCACACGTAACACAAATAATACAGTATCTTGAAAGTTTCAAAGAAGATATTCTGTTAATTAATAGGGGTCGCTTTTTAGACCTCGTCGACCCCCAAAATCAGTTTTAGTTTGTATCGACCCCAGGGAAACCGATTTCAACCCCTTAGAGTCTTTGAGTGCTTTGAAGTCAAAACAAGACGATTTCAAAAAATGAAACAAAGATATTTTGAGTTTGAGTTTAAGTACTGTGTACTGGTATTGTCTGTTTTAGCTGTGTTTATGTTCAGCCGGCACATTTCAAATCGCACATCCCACGGCTTTAGACTTTAGACTTTGAAGGGTAGAGGCAAGGAGAACCGTGTAAAGTGTCCGTAAAACGCGTCTAATAAGGGTGGAGCTGCGGTAGCCAGGATAAATTTTAAAGAAAGCGCCAAAAGTAATAAGAATGAGGTAGACTAATAAAAATCACGTAATAGTTAAGGTTTTGTATACTAGCATTTTACCAACTACTCCAGTCATGAACATTTTCTAATAATTCAATTCAACTCATTTCATTCCTGTCTACAGCTATATTCATATCGTAGTTTTTGGTACGCCAGCAACCTCTATTTTCAGTATACAGCTGAATTTTTTCCCCCTATGAGATGGTTCTTCTTGCAAAGAAGGCAAAGAGCAAGGCACTTTACACTCAATAAGAGCAACTGAAGCGGTGTCGTTGGGCGGCGGAATTCACTTACCTAATAATAATATTATTTTGTAAATTGACAAAATGTAAAAAATGTTTTTTTGTAAAGAAAAAAGTTGTGTCAAAACTTGAACTCAATCAGTGCAAAACTTTTTGACTTTCTGAAGCGTCCACAAACCTACTTACTTATTTTTATGGCAAACGTTGTTTTGCCATATAAATTATTGTTGTATACCTATTTTTCCATGCTAAATCATAATAAAATAAAACAAATATTTAGGGGTTACCCTTACCATTTAGGGGTATGAAAATAGCTGATTCTCAGACCTACCCGATATGCACACAAAATTTCATACAAATCGGTGCAATTTCATACAATCGAGGTTTTTTTTATTGGAGAGGATATAGACTTCATCAAAAACTAGTTATTTATAACCGGTAGTCCATGAACCTTAGTCAGTCCCATAATTTCATATAAATAATCCGATATTTAATTTATTATAATGTGGAAAGAAAATATAATTATATATTAATTTATATATTAAATCAAATTATAATCTATATATTAAAGAAGCGGACCGGGTGAATTTTGTTAACAATCTACCTAATACATAAATATCAATGATGAAAAACGATTTCTTCCAACATTTTTATTATCTTATTGATTGTCGCTTTTTACAACTTGTAACATGTTTTCCGTAGGAAAAAAATTCAACTCTTTAAAATACATAATACCTACGTAAAACCATCAACTGAACAACTTTTGTGTGTAAATGTTTGTATGTTTCTGTTTTATAAAGAATACAACTTCAAAATATAACATGGCGGAAAACTGACAAAATTGTAAAATTGTACGTACAATTTTACACATTTCTGTTTACCTAATAAAACTTTTCTCTTTACAAGTGACAATTTACATATTTGTAGAGAAACCTGTTTTATTGAACGCATAATTTTATTGTAATAATTACAAATTTATATATTTTGTAAATTGTAAAACCATTCCGACAGGTGAACTCGCCGTCTACTCGGGGGTTGTGCAGTCCATGACCTTTAATGATTTTTATGGGAGATCTCTCGCTAACTCATAACATGATTGCGGCCATGGTGCGGAGCGAGAGTGCGTGGAACTCTGCCGACTCCTTCTGCGAGCAGCTTATGCTTGCGAAGGAGATGGCGGGGCGAGACCGGAAGTGGTTCAGAACCCTCCCGGTTCGCCAGGTCCGAGAACGGGCCAGGTACAGCAGACGGCTCGGGTGCCGGTGTCCTCCATAAGCGCAGGCCTGAGGGTGACAGGTGAGGCCGTCTGTCACTCAGTAGCAGAAGCAGGCCGGGGTGGGTAACGGCGCGACGCGCTACGGAGCTCGCACGCCCTTCGGGGCAGGAAGGAAACATCCGGTTCCCACACAGGAGGGGTCATCTATAAGCCGTAGATGGCCCGAAGTACGTCGGGATACCAGGGCTTTCCTTTCTAGGGTACACCTGGTTATCCGGCTACTGGTACCTGGAGACGGCGTGCGGTTTTTGGTCGGTTCGAGTCCGACATAATCATCCACTGGTGGGTGGTATCCGAGGGGAGTTCCTCACAGAAAAAATACTTAACAATTATGTGTCTCAATTTAATAAGTGAAGAAATTTCATTGTAGTATATTAAAAAATGGTTCTAACAACTAATAGTGGAAGTAGTGACCGTAGTGATGATCAATTCATTAGTGAACAGAAACGCAAGTTTTTCGTAGAAGAATAAGCTTTACTTTTGTCAGATTTTACGTTCTACGAAAAATTATGAATAACTCCATGATTTTGAACATTTAACAATTCTAAGATTTTCGAAATCTACCCTCAATTTAAGAATATTTAACAAAAACTTATATTTTATGTAATTTTTAACTTAAAATTACAAATTTTGTAGATACAATATTGTCATCGAAATCATCAGGCGTTTTTTGCACATGTAAACGTTTATTAAATACCTAGTATATTAAACACTTGTAGTGGTACCTAATATTGGTACTGGTTTTACTTGTAAAATTCTTACATAATTATTAGGTTTGTTAAACAACACTTGTATTTACAAAATGTAGTGTGACAGTGTGTGTAACGTTTATTAAACAGGGCCCTGAAGGCCGAGTGCAAGTTTATTTCACATCGACTTGCTAGTAGCGACATCTGTACTATAGTTCCAAGAAAAATGAAAACAAAGAAATCAAAAGACCTTAGGTACTGCCATCTATCTTCGAATAAGTTATTTAGGAAAGGAAAATTTACCGAATCAACACTCCTTGCTCTTAGGACAGATGGCGCCACTATGAACTAGAGTAATGTGGAAAAGAAATAACTGATGATAGCTGAAAGCAGATGGCGCTAGCATACCTTGTTCCATGGTTGTAACCACAGATTAGTATAATGTAGCAAGCTAACCCTACGAGGTTCCTCGTACAAATAGGAGATTGTGGTTTGCTGTACTAGGACGAGGAAATTTTTTAGGTATCAAGATTATTTATTGTAGGCAATATTTTGTAGCGTCTGTAGATTTTACACTGATTCAAAATCTATGACGTACCAATTCCTTGGTATATGTACCATTTTTCAGGGTTTTGTACCATGTACCAACTAAATATTGTGTTGGTACGCAACATTACCAACTTTCTACATTCATTACATATTTAAAAAAAATCTTGATTATTGTAAAAATTCACTGTTCATAATGATATTTATTTTTGACCCATTGAGTAACTTTAAAAATTCGGCAATGTAACTCACTGTTCATTTTTTTTAAATTATGTTTAGTTTTTAATATTATTTAAATTTTTATTTATTATTTTTAAATTATGTTTAGTTTTTAATATATTTTTTGCCTGATGCAGTCAGCCTGTGACCACGGCCGGTGCAACCTGGTCGAAACGTCAGGCAAACCAGAGGTATGTAATACCCTAAATAAGAGATCGCGTTAATTCCCGTTAAATAATATTAATTATCATGGAACGCGAAAGTTTAAAAGTTAGTATGTTTAGTTTTTATTACTAGATTTTATAAATGATAAAATCTAGTAATAAAAACATCAAAGAATAATGTGAATAATAATTATTAGTTAAAATAATAACTATTATTGTTAATTTTTTAATAGGTATGATTTTATTTTCAAATAATAAGAATTTCTTCGATATTTCAAAATTTCATTTAAAAGAACGTGCAAAATAAACGATTTAACAAATATATATATATCGTTATTGTGAGTGTTCCAACTTTTTTCTCAATTACCAGCTTTTAGAGCCTTTTAGCGACATCTGTACCAGCTTTGGCTCTCCACAATCTAACATCCCTGCTTGTCAATCATTGTCAATGATTGTTATTATTGTTATAATTTTTATTTAGATTTTTATGTTGTGCTGATTGCAAAGAAACCTGTAAATTTGTTATTTGACCTGTATATTTTGTTCATGCGGTTGTCTAAATAGACAAAAATCTTTGTAGGTAGGTATTATTGAAAAATTAAATAGAAATTGTGTGTATTTTTTGTTACCTACTATTTCTTGTATTCTTACGACAAAAATGAAGGCAAGTTCATCACATTTTGAACTAATGATTACGTTTAAGGAGCAGTTAGTATAATTTACGTAATTTAGTATTTAATATACATAAAAAGAAGTTTAGTAAGCAGGAAAACTTTATTGCTTCTTCGTGTTGTTATGAAATGAAAGAGGTAGGATATCTAATTTAAACAAACTGAAGGAGTTAACCCTACTTTAAAACAGTGATGGTAGTGGTGGTTCAAAACCACTGAAAAATGGCATAAAGTTTGCACAGTTGCATATCTTATTTTGTATGGTTTTAGGTGTGAAAAGATTTTAAAAACAAAACGAAATAAGGTTGCTCGCTTGCACAGGTCATCTAAAGCAACTGGTGGTGTCCCTGCTAAGTTCACTAAGCTGACAGTCTTATAACAGAAAGTGCTAAAGATCGCTGGTGTGCAAGCAGCTACTGGATTGGCCGTGGAAGAGGCTAGGATAGCCCAGGTTTTAACATCTTTAATAAGTAGGTACAGCTGCAATATTATATCACTTTATTAGTGTTTTATAAATTATATTTTTCTTACAGGTCTAAAACATGGATGAAGTTAAAAATATTGTAGCACGCCAATTGATAGAAGGTTAGTGATGATTATTAGATATCAACATAATTAATCAATAAGTTTTAATGTATGTTTTTAGTTATGTAATACCCACATATTTTTATGTATTTCAGTACCCCAACAAGTTGTCCCATCACCACTACCACTAAAAATGGCCATATCTTTTCCTCCAAATGCATTTGTAGAGGAAGACATTCAAAGTAAGAAATTAATACTTTTTACTAGACAAATAAGTTTTGAAGTTTTGAAATCCACCTACATTGCAGTAGGTATACTGTTTTATAGCAATCCTAGATAAGAATCCTTTAAATGTTTATAAGTATCTAAGTCCCAGTCATCATCATCATCATGAAGAGACTATAATAGTCCACTGCTGTACATAGGCCTCTCCATAGAAAGGAGGTTTTGGCCTACTATACCACGCTTGCCAGACGGGTTGGTATAGGGTTTGTTTCAAGTTTTTTTTTTTGCAGTGCTGTTGCCCTGTGAAGTTTTTCCCTTAGTTGGCCGGATGAATAGGAGTGGTGACATTCCATATTCTTTGCAAAGTCCCAGTCAGTGTTCCTTTTTTAATTTGTCAACTATACACTGGGTTACTGGTTAAGTCGACCTAGATACTTTAGGGGGTTGTAGTAGCCATTATTTCTTATAGATTTCACTGTGAAATACCATATCCCAAACCTGACCATTTTCAAGATAGAAGACTTCAGACTTTTGCCTATACTATATAATAAAAAAAAATATCTTTAGAACTTATTTTTTTTTACTGTTTTTGTGTCGTTCTTTACTAATATCCATTACTGAAATCATAGTTAACAAACTGGGCCGAAGTAGATGGTTGAAAATATCAAAAAGAAATAAATTTTTGAATATTTTTTTCTTCATTGTGGAATTAAACAATTTTTTTTTATCACAGTTAAGTTGCAGATGCGTTAGAAAACATGTACGCATGTTAAAAGGTATATGAGTGATAGTATGGGATAGTATAAGTATTCATAGAAAAAAAAAGTTATATTAAGAATTAGCATATAATATGGTAGCCAAAATCGATCTAAGTGGCGTGCAATGGGAGAGGCCTATGTCCAGCAGTGGACTGCGATAGGCTGATGATGATGATGATGAATGATAGTAAAGAACTTGGCTTGTATTTTTGTTCTGTGCCTTTTCTATTTGTGACTAACTATTGCTAGCTGGACTTTGATTTGTGCTTCTGGTACTGTTGAAGATGACAACCTATGCTAACGAGGAATATGCTGATATTAGTTTCTGACTTGTTACTGATACTGCCAACGTATGAATATTATCTGGACAAAATACTTAATTATTTTTGATATAACCTTTTTCAGAAATATTCCTTGTATGTTTTAGCTTCTCAACCTTGGTGTCAACCGGAGCAACCTGCATCAATCCAATCACCACCTGAGTCTAGGCCTGCTACAACACCACGTCTCTCTTATGTGGAAGGTAAAACATACAAAACCTTCTATAGAAACCATCTTTCATTTGATTAAATATTGCTTTTTATGTTTACAGATCACGGTGTAATCTGTCCGGTTAGGCCTACATTTCAAATGCATGTAGTCCAGCCAGCATCTGCTGTATCTGGACGAATCACACGTCGACGTATGAGGTTTCGCAACAGAGCATCACATCGACGACGTGTAAGGCTGACCCACACTGAGCAGGCGGCGCAGCATTTTCTGCAGGCTGAGGAATTTTGGCGTAAATTCAGAGCTCAGCAGCACCAAGACTATATGGATTTAAGAAGAGAGCAGAATAGGTTGAGGGTGATGGAAATAGAAACACAGAGACGGTGTCATTCCCTAGGAATTCGGGCTCTAGATGTGATATGTAAGTTAGTTAGTAAGTATAGTAAGGAATAGTATTTTTTTGAATATTTTTAATTTTTAAATTTAAGACTGATTTTGAAATTATGACACTTTTTGAATTTAAGACTGATTGTTATTGACGAGAATACTTATAGTGATAATGAGTGTAAAGCCCATTATAGATTGTTTTTAACAATCTTATGAATAATTAGGTTAGTCCTCTAAAAACTTATAAATTAACATTAAAGTAAACGTCATAAGTATGGCGTTAATTAAAGACTGATTTAATAAATAAGTATTTTAACTATTTTTTTATGTTTTACAATTTCTTCAACACAGCAAAGACTGATTGTAATAAAACACTATTATGAGTAAATAAGTATTGTAGAGACTTGTTTTATGGGTTACGAGTTAGTTAAAAGCCTGTTTGTTAAATAACTAATAAAAGGATTAAATATGATCAACTTCGACTAGATTTCGAATATATTAATAATTAGTAGTAGTAGTAGTATGCCGTGGAAGTTGGTGCGAGGGGTATACCAGCTAAATCCCTCTAAAACTTACTTAAAGACCTTGGATTGCCAAAAGCTTTAGCAAGGCATACTCCCTAAACCTACTCCTGGGTCGCATGTGTTGCCCCATCTATTACGAGATGGACCCGACCCCCGCTGAATCCATGGAACGCTAAGAAATAGGTCATTTCTTGTAAAATAAATGTCACATCACATCGAGAGCCTTCAATAGTCCACTGCTGGACTGTCCACATAATAAATCCTTTATTCGCGTAACATTTGAATCATTTGGTTAGTACCTAGTGCTTATTAATAACAAATAGTCACAACCCAATAATTTTAGTTCACATGTCTTATTTTTCTACCAAACCATACGTCAGCTTTACTTTTACCTTTCATTGTACTTGTACCAGTATTATTAATTGTGAACACAGCATATTACTTCACCCCACAAATTTTCATTTAGGCTTCGAGAATGTATGACTGTTCCTGCAGCCTCGACGGTGGTTCTCATTCCTCTTTCAATACGTCCATTCTGTTGTGGAGTGTAAGCACTTGATTTGCTATGAAAAATACCAATACAATTAAGTATTTGTTTTGTGTCACGATTTTTTATTTCAGTGCCATTGTGTGACCGCAGTTCCTTGACTCTCCTGTCAAATTGGTTTTCAACTAACCTCATATTTACTTCCAATTTTGCAGCTGCCTCATTTTTATGTTTTAGGATGGACACTGTTCTGAAATGTGTATATGTCATACCTGAAAAGTAAATAATACTTCGCTCCTACTAAAGATTAAATATCCATCTCACATAAATCTACATGTACCAGATCATGGCCTCGCTGATGCCTTTGGATTTAATGGGTGCGACACCCTGTACTGCTTGCCATAGGTACATCCTGGACACACATATCCGTTCCAATCTTCTTGAAACTTGATACCATTTCTTATTAAAACATCTGCACCTGTGCAATATTTCGATGTGCAAGTTTTTCATGTCATTTCCTCAAGGAAATATTCACCAGTAATTTTTCAGACTGCGTAACTGCATTTTAAATAGTTTATTTTCTCTTGCTACTATTGCACCAACATTTACATTACAATCTTTGAAGACTGACTAATCTGCATCGTCTGACTGTCTATATCCTTTATCTAATACAGAACTCACTAACAAAAGGTTAAAACTTATCTTTGGATCATAATAATACTTCTTTCCAGACAATCTTTTGCCAGGTCTGACCATCAAATGCTTCTAGTTCAATATCCCCCATGCCTTCCAATTCGGTTCCATCACTTATGATAACCATTGATGCTTGTTTAAGAGTAACAATTCTTGAACCAATCCTAATATGAGCTCATGTGTTGTGTGGCAGCACAGTCTTGATATTAACAATCTTCATAATTTTTGTCACGAGAACTTATAGATGATAAACTGACTGTTTTGCCTATGATTTCTATGACCATTTTTACGTGATTTATCATCCTGTTGACTTGTGTCTGTATTTGGACAATCTTTGGCAAAATGTTCTTTGGTTTGCATTTGTTACATCTGTATGCATTTTTACAATACTCTTAATATTTTGCAGATAGTTTACCACGACATTGTGATTTAATGTGGCCTCGCTTTTCACATTTGTAACAGTTTGTGCCATTCTGATTACCATTTGACTTATCTGATTTAAATCTTTTGTTTTGTCATAAAAGCATTTTGAGATGCGGGCTTACTTGTTGACTGAACTTCATTCAACCTGTCCTCTTCTAACCTCAACCGGTCAAACAAATTGGTAAGATTCTTGTCTGCTCCACTAACATCATCCTCGTCCAAAATTCTCTGCATGATCCAAGTTTCTTTCACTCCTCCTTCTTCAGATAAACCATCAGTCAACTGTAGAATGTGCATACAATTTTGTATAATTTATATTATTTATTATAATTGGGCTTACTTTCATTGTATTATATCCAAAGAATTGTCTTTGTAAATCTTTATAGTTAAACCGCCGTAAGCTTGGCCCTCCATATTGTTTGCGGGACGCGGGGCGGGTGATGCTTGGCCATACATGACACGATGTACTAACTCGATATCTTCAGATTTATTTGTTTGAGATTTAATCTACACACGATGTAATAAAAATCGAATTTATTTCCATGTATTACAATGTCAGTGCATTGTAAGTTTTTATGATTAATTGTAAAATAATTTTAATAAAATCACCTTATCTTCATCATGTAAATTATATTCAGATACAATTAAAAAATTAAGTAAAATAATAAATATTCTTTATTAGAACTTTAACAGTAGAACCTCTGTAAGCCGAACTTCAAGTTTTTTAATCTTTTTGTGACGCAGAGTCGGCAGATTATCCATGTTGCAAAATAATACCGTGTGTAGCAGTCTTAAGAAAAATAATACGTACAACCATGCTTTCACGTCAGTCACTGACGGCGGACAGCGACGCACTAGCTAATTGGTTGAATGCACCCCCGCCCCGCGTCCCCCAAACCATCAGGAGGGCCAAGCTTACGGCGGTTTAACTATAATAGACACAACTGACTTTCTCCCATACAGTGTCTAATTTGTGTAACATACTGTGAGCATATAAGTAAAATATACATCTTGATATTTTGTTTGCTGCATCTAGCTGCTGCAGTTCAGTCCAATGAGTGTTTGTGCTTCCAAATCTTTTGTTATTCATTCCGACACACTTTTATTATCTTCTTTCTCTTCAGGCTTCACTACAGCTCCGGTAGCATCAAAATTTTTCTTATTTTTATGGTTAGGTTCAACTTGAACCTCCATGACTCATAATTGACATTTCCTTAAGTATCTTCCGTTAGACATTCTAGTTGAGACCGTATGGATTCGTATGAGATCCTTTCCAGACAGTCAGTTCCAGTCCTTTACGGACTTCAACTGACAACCTGAAAATACACACTTGCATGTAGCTGGGCTCATAACCTGATGAAACTTCACTTGTTTTGCATGAATTTTAAAAGAAACACCGACTGAAGTTCAAACTCTTGATAGTTTATTGCTCACAACAATAGTTAAGACTGAAATTATAACTTCCACAAAGCTTCTACTTAACAAAACTTATACAATGCAAATACGAAAAAGCAATCAACCATTTTGGTAATATCGAACGGACGAATTTATTCAATATTTTACACTGTTTGGCGTCATATTTATGTCATATGACAATTAAAATTCTTACAAATAGCAAGCGTTGCTTAAAATCTTTTTTTTGTGAACTTTTCTCCAAATCTGCTACGGACTTTATGAAGCTCTTCAAAATTCATCATTTGTTTCAATTACAAAACATTTAGGATATTTGTACACTCCTCTGGGGCACGCATTGGCCAACTTCTGTACCTACCTGTATCTGTCCTGTAGGTACCTACATGTTTATTGTGTGAGAAAACACTAAGAAAAAAAATCTCATTTTCTTTACGTTTTCACGGCTCTGTCATGCTTCTGGTAGATTTAAAATTATGAAAGTTTTTATAACTATTATGAAAGTTTTTAGTGATTTTAACAGCAAGTTTTGAAACATTTTGAAAGCAGAACAACCTGCTTTCAACACCATTTTATAAGGAGCGAGTCCAGACGGGTTCAAATAATTAAGAAATTCTGCAGGAAAATGAACAGCTTCTTCCAAATCGAGAACAGTGTCGACTGAGTAATATATTTGCATCGGCGTATCAATTTTTGAAAGAATCAAGTTATTTACAGAATCGCTCTTTCTTTAAACCAAGATAGTCTTGAAACTTATGTTATCAATGTCGGGATTGTTGATCAACTCTTGGATGTTGTCTATCAAAAGAAAGGTTTTCTAGGTTAATCTTTCAATCACTTTATGTTAACTCTCCTTTGCCAACTTTTAGCAGCATCTCTGAAAAAAAGCCTGTTCTCACGTAAAGACAATGAAACCCATCATGTTAGTTTTAGCTCTAATTTATAATATATGTAGTTATAATTTTAATATACGTCTGTCTAAAGGTTGGATCTTTTTAGGGAAGATCTTTTGGTCAGCACGTGTTCCTCGAGTCACAACTGGTAGAATTTGACGAAAGTATCCTGAGAACAGAATTGTAAATCCACCCATAAGTGAATTTTTTGCTACGCGAATTGCGCATTGTCCTATCCAGTGCTTTCACAGATGTCTTGTTTGACATGTTGGCTTCGTCCCAGACTATTAATGAGCAGACACGCATAAACTTTCCTGCTCTGTTTAGAATTACTACAGACGCTGTTATTATCATCGGTGGTGATTTTCAGCGTGAGCTTGAGTGTAGTGTGCGGTTTGGCCTCCTTCTAAGAGCGTAGCGGCAATGCCGGATGACGCGACAGCTAATGCAATTTTTCCGGTAGATCTCAGTTTTGTTAAAAGCAAATTAATTAAAAATGGTTTTCCTGTACCTCCTGGGGTATCAAGGTATAATATTTTTCTTCATTGTTATCAATTGATGATAGTAATGTAGTGAATACTTTTTTCTGATCGATATTCAATCGTTGCTCATCTTGTGCTGTATTTTGTAAGTCTCGATTGATCGTATGATGTTTCTTTTGTGTATTCGGCACTATTCGTTAAATCTGAGTTAGTAGTATTAGCTGGCATCGGCAGTCCAAAATCCTTGATCGATTTACCCGAAAGTAATTGCACTACTTTGTTAAAATCAATAAGTTTTGATCATATTGTACATCATCTGAAACTAAAACTGTCGCCGAATCAGAATATCACTGGCCATATTTTCTTGAAATTTATGCCATAGAGTAACAGAATCAGTTCTTAATTCCACCTACATGCCTACTGTAACTCCTGTACATCAGGATCCACAGCAGTGACCCACGAACACACCGAGTTATGACACTCGGGAAGTCCCAGGAAGAAATTAAAATAAATAAAATTAAATTAAAAATGTCTTGGAACCCGCAACGAAATTAATTAGAAGAAAATTGGAGGAGTTGCAAAAACAGAATCAGTTACTTGACAAAACGGTACTATGATGGCTAATAAATATCTTAATAATGTGCTGAACTGTAAATAGCTGCTTCAGATAATGTGTTTTCAAGAGCCCTATAGCTTTGCATGATGTTTGATAAGTATTGTAAATAACACCTTGTACAGTTCTCAGGTGTGCAAAGGATGTTGACTTTTTCAACATGCAGTAACATTTTCAGATAAAAGCATTCGCTGTTGTTGAGATGAATCACGTAGACTCTGAAAAGAGCATTCGTTTTTTTTTTACTCCGGGGAAACCATCGACCGGAGTACCTGTTTTCGCCGTTGAAACGTCAATGTCAGTGTTTTCGCGAAATCATGTTGAGCACATAACTTTAAGAATGCTGTTAATGTTGTGTCCCGCGTGTTATTAACAACTTGTATATTGTTCTCAGTGCAAAATACTCTTTGTCCATTTTCTAAATGAACTGCAAGGTGGACAATAATGGGAGCGCAGTCGTGCACTTCGAATGATAAAATCCTCTATACTGTTCAGAGCTGCAGATGTAAAGTTCAGACTGATATTTATCTACTTCATTTGGTGATTGTATGCTGAAAGTGGCTTGATCGCTACCTTCATTAATGTATTTAGTAACATATTGGATTGACTTTATTAAACTGTACAACTCGACGTTGATGTGGGCATCAAAAATGTTGTAATGGAGCGGATTATAGGGGACGATCCATCGTTTATCAATATCATGATTTCGGACGGTGGCACTTTGCCCACCCTGTTCTGGCGATCGTCGGCGATATTTGAGATATCCGTTATCGCCCGTAGATGTTTGAGTTTAAAATGACTTCGTTTTTTTTGCTGCATTTAGAATCTCGCATACAAGAAGAATTAGAGTTTAAAGGGTCGTGTACCATGTGTTTCTTTACGATCTCGAACAGGACATGATCTTCTTCTTTAACCGGTAATTCAGCTGAAATAACGCTGTCAATTTGATTTGGTCTAATCTAGTTCACTAACCACACCAGCAGATGTACATGTGGCAAACCACGTTTCTGCCATTATATAGTGCACATATGACAGCGCGGCAGACCGAATATATGAGACTTGTTAATGAGGTGCAGGAGTTTCTGTACTTTTAAATGGAAGACTCTGTTAACTATATCGTATCTGTCTTGTTTGTGTAGCGTATCAAATTGGTGTTAATATTTTCTTTGATTTCTGGCCAATTTGTGTTACATGTTGCAGTTATAAATAAATCAAGTTTACCGTAATGTCTGACGTAAGTCATTGCGTCCTACGATTTTTCATGTAAATATCGAGGTCCACCTGTGAATGATTTAGGTAGTAATACCAACAGTCCAATGCCGTTGCTATGTTTATTCGCATGTAAAGCATCCTGAAGGTGAACGTAATTTTCTGCTCTCAATATGGTTTGATTATTACGGATGTAGTTTTAATTTTCGCATATTGATCGACCAAGTATTGGTTTGTTAACATTCCATATCTAAGCAAAGGTTTGAAATTGTTACGTCTTGCCAGTTATACGGTAGCAGTAGTAGTTCATACATGAAACTGTTTTACGAAGAGGTGCACAACTGATTGGGTCAACTTGAGAAATATTAATAGCATAACAATGTTCTCCACAAACTAGCATCAGAGGATATTACTTAAGATCTGTGTAGCTCTGAATTTTTTTTTGCAAATTATCATCACGACTATACAACACAATATCTCTTTTGTGAAATTGCTGTCCCGCTGTCACCACTGGTACTTCACTCGTGGAAGGCGCATTATATCGTCCTCTGTGTTCTCCAACAGGAACTTTATTTCAATGGATTACGACATTAAAGTCAGGAGTATCTACTGGAATACTCTCAATCGCAGTTTTAAAAGACTGTATCTAACAGTTGAGAGATCTGATCAAATCTCTATCAATTGGCTGTGCGTCACTTTAACACCGCGTTGATGCTTGTGTATCTAGATCTGCAATAAAATAAATTTGCAGAAATTTGTGATCTTTGGGTCGAAGTGGTAGCAAGCTCCCAGCTAAGTGATACAATTGCCATTGAATTTTAAATGTAGGCATAAAACCACGCTCCACGTCTTGCTTACTCTTGAAAGAGGTCATTTGAAATGTGTTATTATAACGGCGTATAATGCGCATTAATTGTTTGGATAACGGATGATCACCCGTAAAAAGTCAAAGTCAAAGTTTTTGTGACACGATTTTCACTGTCTTTAAACGTTGCATTGCTGAAGGAATATTTCCTCGTATATGGCGGTGCGGTAATATTCGTAAAATACCAAAAAGTGGCGACAAGCCACCGGATGATCCTAAATCCTACCGACCAATCACATTGTTACCATCGTTAGGAAAGCTTTTAGAACGTTATCTCTTCGTACTTTTCACAAGGTACAACTAAACTAAGACTTGGTCATCATTCTGTGTCGAAGGCGCTTACAATGGGATGTCCTCAGGGACTGGTGCTAGGTCCATACTTGTGGAATATCGGCTTCGACGATTTTCTTGCGATACCAATACCATCCGGATGTACTCTGAACGCGTATGCTGATGACGGCTTATTACTGGTGGAATCTGATACTAGGGCGGGGCTTGAGAGATTAGCCAATAGATGTTTGAACTTGATATCTCAATGGGGTGAACGTAATCGCTTAACTTTTGCACCCAACAAAACCTTCCAGCTACTTTTAAAAGGTAACCTCAAATCACCGCCGA